CTCATCTGACATCCATCTTGGTCTTATCTTCTTTTTCAGCCTTTGTAATGATCGTTTGCATTATTCATGGATGATTTTCTTGATATCCTCCCAGAGCTCATTTGGTCTACGCTCATTGGTGCTCAAGGCCTCAAATCTATTCCTGAGATAGTTTTGAAATTCGAGTGGGACAGACTTAAGATCAAAGTTTGGTTCCCGTGGACTTGATTTAATTTTCCTCAACTTCAGCTTGAACTTGTGTAAGAGTAGTTGGTGATCTGTCCCACAGTCAGCACCCAGTCTGGTTGATAGTTGAGAAACAATGACTCCTCCACCCCCAAATTATAATGTCATGAAGGTTTAGATCCCAGTGCAGTGCATTACTTAGCATGACACTTCTAGCCCTTAATCATTGTCTTGTGTCTCCCATGGAATGATTAGGTTGGATTATATTAATAATGTGCTTGTACATGCCAGTTAGACAACTTGCTGACTAACAATGCAAGTAAAGTTCATGGAACTCTTTCATATGTGAGACTATATAAATAAAGTATATTGAACCCTAGTGAAGGGATTGGCTGGTTTTGACATCCTGCAAGGCTTTTAAGGGAACCAACCCTAGAAGTGGGAAGAAAAGGTCTTCTCTATGACTCAAAGGAGCTAGGAGAGGAGCATGTGCTTTGGATTCAAGATCCCTGTGTTGAGAACCTCCTAGACCCAGGAAACAGAGGTAACATTGATGATAGTGCATGACAGAAGAAACAATAGAGAAATGGTAGCATCAGACTCAGGTATTTGACATGACTAGGGTGGAGGGCTTCCTGACCTTGGATCAGGGTGGCTGCAATGAGTGTGTTAACCCACAAAAAAAGAGAGTTGAGCACCTCTGGGCAAAGGACTTACTGGTAGAGTAGGGTACCTTTGGGCACTCATTGGTAGAGCTCCTGAGCTTTGTAACACTTGGGTCACAGAGCAGGAACAAAGAGTAGAGAGAGAGGTCTGTGTACAAGCATAATCAACAACTGTCTTGACTGAAAAACTGTGTCTTGAGTTGTTCCTGATTCTGAATTATAACCTGTATCTGGAAGTAGGAGTGACATCCACTTCCTAAATAACATGCCTCTGGAAACTCTATGAACTCTGATAAATGTTGATGGTTGTAGAGGGGCTTCAGGCCTTTTGTTCATGGGGTCACTATGAGTCATTCTCAACTCAAAGATAATCAATAACAACTTTCTTAATAAAGTCTGTAACTGTGCATATGGTCCATGAGTTCTATGTGGTCTTTGAAACAAATTACTGAACCCAACCCAAATTGAGGTTGCTATAGAAAGGATGGCTGATGTCAGAATTGGTAAAAAAGGTTGGAAAGTGGAGTATATTTGACATCCGCCTCATAGGAATCAGCCTTGGAAAGATCTTGGTTCTCCTCTTCCCTTGTGAAGTTACAGGTCTGATTCCACAACCTCACTTTTCACAGGGGGTAAATTTTCAAAAGCTCTTTGGAGGATGCACCTACCTCTGTTATTATTGGATAAGAATTCCACAGAGGTGATATCTGAATTGTGTCTTGAAGAGGAATACAAAAATCACTGGACAGAGAAGAGGCAAGCTTGTTATCTGTCTTCTGAGAAATTGTATAGCAAACTTTCTCACGTTTCCATTTCCGTGGAGTTAAAAAATCTTCTGAAAGCTTGTTTCTCTTTGTAGGTAGAAGCGATCCTGCTTGGATATGAGTCTAATGAATGTTGATTTTTTTTCTTCCTGCTCTGATTGTCTAAGAAGCTTCTACATATATCTTATGTAATGCTGTTATAACAGAAATACCACTAATGGATATCTTTAAAAAGCAGAAATTTATCCTCTTGTAGTTTAGGGAATTCTGATAGCTGCTGCTGCTGCTGCTGCTTCTTCTTCTTCTTCTTCTTCTTCTTCTTCACCATCAAGTCAAATGTGATTCACTGTGACCCTATAAACAACAGATCTGAACCCTCTCCTATCCTATGCCATCCTCATAATGTCTGACATACTTGAGCCCATTGTTCCAGTCACTCCATCCATCCATCTTACTGAGGATCTTAATTTCTTTCTCCTACCCCCACCCTACCTTTCCAAGCATAATGTCTCTTGTCAAGGTATAGCCTCTCCTAACAATAAGCAAAGTATGTGAGATGAAGCTTTGTCATGTTTGTATCCAAGAAGTGTTCTGGCTGCACTTTCCCCAAAACATCTGTTCTTTTGGCAGTCCACTGGATAGTCAGTACTCTTCTTCAACACCACAAAGTCATCAATTCTTCTTCTGCCATCACTATTCATTGCCCAGTTTTCAGATACATAACAAAGGATTGAAAATACTGTGGTTTTAATCAAGCAGACTTTACTCTTCAAACTGACATCATTGTTTCTCAGTAATTTGGAGAAGTCTCTGACTGCAGACTTTCCCAGTGCAATGCATCCCCTCATCTCCTAACTGTTGTTACTAAGGGTGTTGATTGTGGATCTAAGTAAGATGAAATTGATGACAATTTCAATCTTTTATCCATCTATCATAATGTTTGGAGAAGGACATCATACTTGGAAGGGTGGAGGGACAGTAAGGGAGAGAAAGACTTCAGATGAGATGGACTGGCACAGTAACTGGGTAATGGGAGTAGATATGTCAGAGACAGTGAAAGTGGCTCAGGATAGGGTAGGGTTTAGAGCTATTCTTCATAGGGTCACTATGAGTCACAGACAACTCAATGGCACATAACAACAACAACATCATGATGTTGCTTATCGGTGAAAATTTTTATTTTCTTGATGTTGAGATGCAATCCATTATTGAAGGCTGAAGTAGTTGATCTTCTGCAGATAAGAAATTGCAAATCAGCCCAAAAGTATGCGGTTCAAATCCACAAAATGCTCTGTGGGAGAAAGATGGGAAATCTCCTCTGTGTTTTACTGCATCTGAAAATTTCCTGGAAGGTCAGCTATGAGCTGGTTCTGATTTGACAGTACACAACAACAGTAACAACACAACAGCTCAACTCATGTCTATCAAGTTGGAACTGACTCACAGTAGACCCTCAGTTTGGTTTCCAAAGCTGTAAATTGTGCAGGAGGAGAGTACCCATCTTTCTCTCAAGCCTCATTTAGTAGGGTAGAAGTAAAAATTCAAAATTGTCTCTGAGGGAGAAGGTCCACTCGCTGTTGGTGGTAAAGGAGAATCCTTTATAGGCTCGTCATTCACTGGATAACTAATTTCATGTGTCTTCCCTGGTATCAGGGAGCTATGTAGCAGAGACCAAAATCGAAAATTCTCACTCTACTTCTGGTAATTATTAGTTGGTGGTACTAAGGGTCCTACCCCCTTATTTTACTATTTCCTTTTCTTCCTTGGAGAAGTTTCCTCCTGGACATGAAGCGAATTTTAGAACCAGAAAGGTCTTTGAGTTCTGTCAATACAACACCTTCATTTTCTAAATTGAAAAAAAAACAAACCCAGAAAACAAAACAGCAACAAACAAACCATAACCAAAAAAACAACCCAAAATCATGGAAATAATAATAATAATAATAATATCTAATGGTAAGGAGATTGAGGTAGCTAGCATTTTCACCTTACTTGGATACACAATCAACACTGTGGCAACAACAGTCAGGAAATCAAAAGATGAATTGCACTGGAAAAATCTGCTGTCAGGGACCTCTCCAGAATGTCTGTCTGGAGTTTAAGGTGCACCTGATACAGGCCATGGTCTTCACAGTTACTTGCTATGCATCAGAGAGCTGGGCAATGACTATGGATGACAGAAGAATTGATGCCTTTGAGTTGTGATGCTGGAGAAGAATATTGAACATACCAGAGGCAGGCAAGAGAACAAACAGGTCTGTCATTGAGAGGGTGAAACCAGGTTTCTCCTTGGAGGTTAGGATTTTGAAGCTCTAGCTCATATACTTTGGGCATGTGGCTAGGCAGGACCAATCCTTGCAGAAGGACATCATGCTTGGAAGGGTGGAGGGACAGCACAGGAAAGGAAGACCCTGGATGAGATTAATTGATAGAGTAACTGGGGTACTGGGGGTAGGTGTTTTGGAGGCAGTGAGGCTGGCTTAGAATAGAGCAGAGTCCAAAATGATAGGGTCGCCATGGGTCTCAGGTGACTCAATGGCACATAACAACAACAAGGAACTGCACTGCCAACTCAAAGGTGGACAGTTCAAATCCTCCAGCTGCTCCTCAAAAGAAAGATGAACAGTCTCTTCCAATACAATTTATAGTCTCTAAGAACGCGTGGGAGGGTCAGCTGTGATTTGGTTCCAATTCCAATGGCACATAGCAAGGAAGGGTTACAATAAAGAAGAATTGATAATTTTGAATTGTAGTTTTGGCATAGAATGTTGAATATAGCCTGGACTGCCAAAAGAACGAACAAGTCTATCTTGGAAGAAGCACAGCCTGAGTGCTCCTTAGTAGCAAAGATAGTGAAACTTCATCTCACATACTGTGAGAAAACAGGATGACCTGCTACAAGGTGATTGACTCAGTGACTCCGACAAAAGGCTCGAGTGCAGCAGAGATTGTGCAGAGGGCACGGGATCAGACAGGATTTGTTCTGTTGTTGTTGTGAGTTACAGCTGACAACTGCAGAAACAACAATGTGAGAAGAACAGTGACATATGAGTATTACTTAATCCTCCCATAGCCTCATCAGATAAGTACTCATAGATCTTATTTGGAAGAAAAGTAAATTAAGTAATAACTTGCTTATGGTGATAAGGTTCATGACTAGCAGAACTGTGTTACTAATCTGCGTGAGATACCAAATCTGTTTAATTTTTATTACTACATTACTGTCTTAAGGCAGCTTTGTAGATAACATAAACGTATCACTTAGCTTCATCCCTTCATGTCTGTTTTAGAAATCCCATCACTAAATCCCAATTGAAAGGTGTATGTACTTCAGTAAAATAAAAGAAAACAAAAACCCAACCTAAATCCTGACTTCACTCCTCTTGCCCCATTCTGGTACCCACAGGTCCCAGCCAAACAAGATCCCAGCACAGCAGGAAATAGATGCCATGTATACGGCTGAGAGGTACAGAGAGAGTGAAGAAGACTCTGCAAGCGAAGAGGAGGAGGAGTCCATAGACTCTCTGTCTCTTCCCAAAGGCAAATTAGCTGAATCGCAGAAGAAAATAGCTACGTTGATTAAGGAAAATAGGGTAAAACAAAAACCTCGTTGATATTTTATCTCAGTTCATCTTGGTTACTTTTCCTGGATGGTTTCATGACGACACATCTTGAGCAAGACGTACAGCTTCATTAATCCCCTCTTTGCGTGCATGTGTGCCTTTCAAGGTCTGCTTTCCCTTTTTATGAAGCACTTCTTAGAAGGGATTGAATATTGAGGCACAAGGCTGAGAACAGGAGTAGCTAGGTAGGGATCTTGGCTCAGGCTTGAGAGTGATGTAGATAAGCTGCCTGTGGATAGGAGTGGAATGATAAGGAAATCAAAGGACCCAAAACGGGGTAGATGGAGAGGTGAGGGGGACTGAGTCTGTTGCTGAAAGTTTGCCTTTCTTAGACCACTGTTTTTAATCTGATTCAGCTGCCTCCACTCTGCCTGCCCTGCAAACTCACTGGCCCACCTGCATCAGCAACAGCTGTGTGAACCATCTCTTCCTGATGCAAATAGGCCATGTTCAGCTACCCACAAGTAGCAAGCTGGTCTCACCATTAAATGAAGCAGATTCAGTGGCAGAATGTGGGTTTCTCACCACCAGAAGAGCAGGAGGCAGAGCATAGACAGACATGTCCTTCAGGGCCAGAGATTCCTGGGACCGGGTTTATAGATTTCTGTTGACTGAAAAGCCATCTGGGCTCAGGTATTATATCTTGCTTTTAAATAAGAAGCTCTCTGAACTGAGAGATTGTATCTTGCTGAATTATATAACCTGTTAACTTCACTAAGAAATCACATAACCGTGAATATGGTTCTGTCAAGTCTGTGAATGGGTCACTAAACAGATTTCTACCCCAAGAAATCAGTGCAGGAAAATGGGAGGACATGTCTGATCTCAGAAGAATTAGTTTTGCTTGTGGATATTGTTGATGAGGGCAGTTCCCCTTGTGGATTTGATGGGCTGCCCCCTGTTTTCCTTTTTCTAATCACAAGAGGTCAATTTCTTAGAAACAATGACCTGAGAACTAGGATTTCAGAACAAACGTGTAAGCAAGAGTGATCATAGTTCAGAAGCCAGAGGCCACACCGTGACACCCCTCATTATTAGAATGCAGGCTCCAGCCTGCTCCCCAGGTGTGATCTGTCAGCTAAGGAGTCTTGATACGGAATTCTTGGCCAAGAGAAAATTATCTGAAAATCTGTGTGGATAGTGTGGTCTGCAGAGCTCAGGAGGGACAGGGATAGCAGAGGTGGAGGCTGATAGCTCCCTAGATAGGTCCTCTGTAATTTACCCAGAAGGCGATCAACACAGGATTATCCCAACCTGGACCACCTGATACTATACACATCTAGGCTAAAAAGGGCCTTTTTAGAAGCAGTCAAGTCCTGTCTGCCATGCATGCATGTGTGAGCTGTTAAGGCATGAAAATCTTTGTTCACATTGGATATTGACAAGAGGTGGAGACTTTTGGAATGAAATCTGAGATGTCAGATTTCCCAGATGGTGCAGCCCAGAAGGACTGGGATGTGGTGGCTGCCCACAGCAGTGGGTCTGGGCTGACCCCTGTAGAGGCCCATGCAGTTTGTCTCCAGTCCCTTCGTCCTCCTTAGAGGGATGAATGCAGAAAGTCCAGGGCCAGCAGCAGCTCTACACTGCCAGCCTGGTGATTTCCCATGCCCCGATGGTCGTGTATTTTATAAAAATAGAACTTAACCGGGACTGTTACTGGCCTGTTTATTGTTACTGGCCCCTGGTGAGCATTTAAAAAGTCTGACAGATTGATGACTTTTAAAGCATTATGGAGAAATGCCCCTCCAACATTGCATACCTCTGTATATTTGAGCAGTGAGCAGGTGAAGTGTCAGATTAGGTGAGAAAATGGGGCCCGGAAGGAGTGATAACTTGGACCTTTGTGAGACACCATTGTGCCCACATCACTCCATACACTGGTAACATTTACACAAGCACTTGATGTGTTGGGATCACTTTGATGCTGACTTATTTTTCTCATACTGACTCTGTGGGTTAAGCTAGTTAACATAGGTAGTTAAGCTAGGTTTCCAAATCTTGGAAAAGAAAGCGAGACCAGGGGTGATCTTTCTCAAAGAAACATATTCAGTCAACATTAGAATCAGGACTGGAAGTCAGGCATTTGCCTCCTTCATGTGCTGTTTCACCAGCCAGTGAATGCCTGACTTTGCCTGTTATATACCCAATAGATGGCTGTGCTTTAAGCCATTGAAATCTATAACTTGATGTAATTTTGTGATATCTTAGAGCTCTCTGTCTACCAACTGTAGGGACATGGCCACTCCCTCCCATTCCTGTTAGTGAGAGTCACCAATGATTCATCCTGTAAGTACGAAATGATTCCCTCCTCTGTACCAAGCACTGGGCACTCAGTGCCAAACATGAAGAAGAAATATCTTCTCTCAAGGAACTAGTATTTAGGGAGGCAGATCATAGACACACAAGCAAAAAACACTAATTAGTGCAATATCAGATCAAGGTATTATGTAGTTATGCTCCATCGAGTGAGGATCGATCCAGAGCTAACCCTCCAGCAGGTTTTCAGAGGCAGTAAACACTTGTAAAGAGACTATTCCTTTTTCTCCTGCGAGGCAGCTGATGGATTCCTGTACTCTTCACCAACCCAAAGGCAGGCAGTACAAATGCAGTAGCTGCTCTGTGGGACAAGGCTGGGCAGTCTCCTCCCATGCAATTTACAGCCTCTTAGGGTCAGCTATGAATCTTATGAATTGATTCCATCTCGATAGTATATAATAATTACTCCAATCTGGCCCTGTTAACAAAAGAAAACTACACCCAGAGTCATTTTTCTAAATGCAAGGATTAGGACATCTATATATGAGGGACATAATGCAATCTAACGGAGGGGAAATTTATAGATTAAAAGAGACCTCAGTAGCCTATAGACTGGTTTCATGGGTGAACTATAATCAGATTCACTCAAAACCAGACAAACTAAAAATAAACAGATTTGTAAGTGAGGGAGTTGTTGTGATGTACCATTGAGTCAGAACCAACCCATTGCTGACCCTCCAGTAATTGTCAGAGGCAGTAAATTGCACAGGAGAAGATTGCCCATGTTTCTTCTACAGAGATGCTGGTGGATTTGAAATACTTGCCTTTGGGTTGGCAGTGCAGTTTCTTAGCACCAAGCCACCAGAGCTCCCTAAGTGAGAGTTGTTGTTGTTTTTATGTGCCATTGAGTCGCCTGTGAATTATAGTGACCTCTGAACCCTGCCCTATCCTGAGCCAATCTCATCATCGCTGATGCAACTAATCCCATTTCTCTAGTCAATTCATCTCATCCTGGGTCTTCCTCCCCTGTGCTGTCCCTCCACCCTTCTAAGCATAGTGTCCCTCTCCAAGGACTGTTACCTCCTGGCCACATGCCCAAAGTATATGAGATGGACCTTCAAAATCATTGCCTCCAGAGAGCAGCGTTGTTCTACCCTCTCCAGGACAGATTTGTTTGTTCTCCTGACAGTCCACAGTATGTTCAATATTCTTCCTCAGCACCACAACTCAAAGGCATTGATTCTTCTTGGTTATTGTCCAGCTCTCAGATACATAGGAAATAATTGTGAAGACGATGGCCTGTATCAGGCACACCTTAGTCTCCAGACTAAAATCATTGCTCTTCAGTACTCTAGAATTAGGTCCCTGATAGCAGACTTTCCCAGTGTAATGTGTCTTTTAATTTCTTGACTGCTGGTGCAGAGAATGTTTATTGTGGAACCAAGCAAGCTGAAGTTATCAATCATCTCAAACTCTTCTCCATCCATCATGAAGATGCTAATTGGCCCAGTGGCGAGAATCTTTGTTTACTTGATGTTGAACTTCAATCCATATTGAATGCTACAGTCCTTGGCCTTCTGCAGCAAATGCTTCAAGTCCTCCTCAGTTTCAGCAAGTAAGGTTGTGCCATCTGCATAACATAAGTTGTTGATGAGTCTTCCTCCAATGTGATGCCACATTCCTCCTCATAAAGTGCAGTTTCCCAAATGATCTATTCTGCATATAGATTGAAAAGGTAAGGATATAGGATGCATCCCTGACGCACACGTTTCCTGATCCTGAAACTTGCAGTGTTTCCCTGCTCTGTTCTGACTACTGCTTCCTTGTCCAAGTAAGTGTTCTGGGATCCCTATTTATTTCAAGGTTAGCCACAATTTGTTGTGATCCACACTGTCAAATGCTTTGTCACTCACAACATTGTATTTCAAGATGCATCTAGAAGCGGTCTTTTTAACTATAAAAGCAACTCCATTTTTTCCCTCACCTTTTCATCTCCAGTGTAGTAGATATGATTATCTGATTGAAAATGTCCCAAGCCAACCCATTTCATTTGGCCAATCCCTAGTATGTCAATATTTATTTGTCCCATTTCTTCCTTAACAATCTCCAATTTTCCTACATTGATACGTCTTACATTTTATGTTCCAATCAGTAGTATCTGTTTGCAACTGTTTCCTCCTCCTTTATGACTCCCAGTGAGAAGGTTCTGCCTCTGGTGCTGTGTCTGCTAATCTAATCTAAGTGTGCTCTATTGTATATAGGGTTTCTGAGGACTCCTATTTCAGGAATGGATAGCCAATCCTTCTCCCTACTCTGTCTCACTTTTTGCTTAATTCTAATGCAGTATTTGACAGACAAGATTTTTGCCCTAAAGAGCAAAAGAAAAAAAATAAATGAAAATGCATATTTGTGAAATAATTATTAGATTTATGATACTATGTATTTTATTTTTTTAAAAAAACACACCGAAAAAACAAGCCCAAACAAAACCTGTTGTCAATGAGTTGATTCTAATGCATAGATTCTGACCAGAAAGCCAAAACAGAACTGATGCATTGAGTTTCCAAATCTGTGAATCTTTATGGAAACTGAATACAGTATCTTTCTACCTCAGAGTGGCTTGTGATTTCGAATGCAGACTGTTCAGTTAGCAACCAAGTGTTTAACCACTGCACCACCAGGATGCTTCTCTACATATTTGATACTAAGCTATTATTGTTAATGTTTTGGTAAATATTTATGAAATATTAATAGATAAAATGATGGAATTTCTTAAATTTGCTTCCAACTATGAGAAGGGGAGATGTACAGCTCTGAGCAAGTCTACAGTCAGGGAATTCTCCAAAATACCGAAGAGCAGTAATGTCAGTGTGCCTGATTCAGACCATGGCCTTTTCAGTTACTTCACTGAAATGTATATTGTTGTTGTTGTTATCTGCTATTGAGTTGCTTGCAGCTCATAGCGACCCTATGTACAACAGCCCTAAACTCTGCTCTGTTCTGTGCCAATCACACTGTCTCTGACACTTCCATCCCGATTACCCCATCTCATAGAGGGCCTTCCCGTCCTGAGCCTGCCCTCCACCCTCCCAATCATGCTGTCCTTCTCCAAGGACCGGTCTCTCCTTACATGACCAAAGTATGTCAGATGAAGCCTCGGAATCCTGGCCTCCAAGGATCAGCCTGGTTTAATCTTTTCCAGGATGAATCTGTTTGTTTTCTTAGCAACCCATAGTACCCTCAATTCTCTTCTCCAGCACCAAAGCTCAAAGGCATCAATTCTCCTTCTATCCTCCCTAGTCGTTGTCTAATTCTCTGATGCATAACAAGTGACTGCAAAGACTATGGCCTGAACAGATGCATCTTCGTCTCCAGAGTGACACTATTGCTCTCCAGTACCCTGGAGAGGTTCCTAACAGCAGACATTCCCATCGCAATACATCTTTTAACTTCCTGGCTGCTGGTGCCGAGAGTGTTGATTGTGGAGCCAAGCAAACTAAAGCTGTGAGCAATCTCAATATCTTCACCATCCATCCTGATGCTGCCAGTTGATCCAGTGGTGAGAATCTTTGTCTTCTTGACATTGAGCCTCAATCCATATTGGAGGCTGCATTCCTTGACCCTCTGCAGCAAGCGCTTCACGTCCTCCTTAGTTTCAGCAAACAGGGTTGTGTCATCTGCATAACACAGATTGTTGATAGATCGTCCACCAATTCTGATGCTGCATTTCTCCTTATAGAGCCCAGCTTCCCAAATAATCTGTTCTGCATACAAGTTGAAAAGATATGGAGAGAGACAGGACACATCCCTGGTGTACACCCTTCCCAATTTTGAACCATGCAGTGTTACCCTTCTCTGTTCTGACGACTGCCTCTTGGTCCAAGTATAGGTTTCGTATTAGCACAATTAAATGTTCTGGGATTCCCATTCTTCTCAGAGTCAGCCACAGTTTGTTATTATCCACACAGTCAAATGCCTTTGCATAATCAATGAAACACAGACAGACATTCCTCTGGTATTCCCTGCCTTCAGCCAAGATCCATCTAACATTAGCTACAATATCCCTAGTACCACGACCCCTTCTAAACCCAGCCTGGACTTCTGGCAGTTCTCTGCTAATGTGCTGTTCCAGTCGTTTTTTTGATAGTCTTCAGTAGAATCTTGCTTGCATGTGAAATCAATGATATTGTCCTATAGTTTCTACACTCTGTTGGGTCACCTTTCTTTGGAATGGGAACAAATATAGCTCTCTTCCAGTCAGTTGGTCAAGTGGTTGTTCTCCATAATTTTTGGCACTTGGTGAACATGTCCAGGGCAAGATGGACAATAAATGAAAATGACAAAAGAAGAATTGATGCCTTTGAGTTGTGGTGTTGGTGAAGACTGGTGAATATCCCATGAACTTCTAAATGAACAGTTATGTCTTGGAGAAAGTGCATACAAGATGTTCTTTGGAGGCAAAGATTGCAAAATCTTTGTCTTTAATACTTTGGGCATGCTGCGAGAAGGAGCGATTCCTTGGAGAGGAACATCATGCTTGGAAAGGTGGGGGGAGGGGGGTCAGTGAAAGAGAGGAAGACTGTCAACCAGATTGATAAACACAGTGACTGCAGCAATTAACTCAAGGGTGTCCGAGATTGTGAGCATAGCCCAGAATAGGAAAGGGTTCAGATCTGGTGTTCTTCAGGCCACAGTGAGTTGTATCTGACTCTGCAGCATCTGCAACAAAATAGAAGGGGAGAGTAAGAGCTTGCAGATTATAGACGTAAAGCAAAGGTGCCCTTGAGGAGGTGCAATCTTTAATGAAAGCAAATGATGCACTTATTTACACTGGCTAGTTTGGGATATTTTGAAATTTTTCCACAATAAAAGGTTAAGTCACTCTATCATGGAGAAAGTAGACTGAGGGGCCAGAAAAGGTGTTAGGAGAGGGCTCTTCTAGTCCTTCAGGTTAAAGGTGAGGTGGTTTGGACACCCAGGTGTACTGGAGCATTATTTATAATAGCCAAGAGTTGGAAACAGTCCAGGTGCCCATCAACAGACAAATGTTGTATACCACTGTATGATCCGTTCACATAATGGAGTATTACTCATCACTTAAAAAATCATGCATGGATGGATCTAGAACAAATTATGTTGAGCTGCATAAGTCAGTCACAAAAGGACTAGGATAGTATAAGACTACTACTGTAAAAGTCTAAGGAGAGGTTATCACACTGACAGAAGCACTCTTGGAATTTGAATAGGAACTGGGAGGGAGGAGGGTTTTGTTATTGTTATTAGGTGCAGTCAAGTCAACAGGTCTCATAGTGACCCTATGAAAAATGGCTTTGAACTTTTTCCCTATCCTGAGCCAATCCCACCATCTCCAACACACTCATTGCTTCAGTCCATCTTTTTGAGGGCCTCCTCTCTTGTGCTGACCCTCCACCTTTCCTTGCATGATGTTCTTCTCCAAGGACTAGCCTGTCCTTACAACATATCCAGAGTATGTGAGCTGGAGTTTCCCTATCCCTGCCTCCAAGGAACAGGAGAGGGGAGTGAAAATTAGTAAATAGATCTGAAAAAGATGATGCTGACTTGGGTTGGTATACGTGGCCAAAAAGAGGAGAGAGCTCCGTTTGAGGATTTAGTATTAAGATGGAGTCCATAGGACTGGAGGGACAGGACATGGAATTGAAAGGAAAGAGAAAAAGATGTAAACTTGAATTCAGATATAAAATCTATTGGCAAGTACATGAGCCAGAAATATTTGTCCTTTGAAAAAAAAAATCATGACTTATTTGTTCTTTCCAGAATATTAAAGCAAATGAGGAACTGATTCGCTGTGTCATCCTTTCCCGGATTATTTTCGGAGAAGAACACTGGAAATGTGCACAGGCTTTAGCCCACCTGGCTTATGGCTACCTGACTCTGAGAGGTACTGGGTTTCCACACTGGATGGGAGTGGACCATCCTGTGAGAGGAGTGAGCTGGGACCACACACAACTGCAGTGATTGGAGGAAGGGTTCTTTACCGACTCCAGCTCACATCTATTCAAGAGGAGGGGAAAGTTCATGGTTGAGACCAATTGGTGTAGATTTCAGTCACAAACATACCAGAATCTGGTAATGGCCATTTATTGATGTCTTGGTGTGTACCAAGCTTGTTGTACTGAAAATTTAGCCACAGGGATGCCCTCCGCCAAGGGCAGCAGAAGGAATCACTGACCAGCCCTCATCTTTATAATGCTTACTGTGTGTTTAAGCCCATTGATGAGCCACTGTGTCATTCCATATCATTTTCTCCTTCTCACGGATCCTCTACTTTACCAGACATGATGTCCTTCTCCAAGACCTGGTCCTTCCTGATAACATGACCAAAGTAGTTGAAACAAAGTCTCATTATCCTCACATCGAGGGAGCACTCAGCCTGTACTTCCTTCAAGATGGGTTTGTTTTTCTGTCATCTGGCAAGCCGTGGTATATTCAGTATTCTTTGCCACCGCTATAATTTAGAGATATCAGTCCTCCTTCAGTCTTCCTTATTCATTATTCAGCTTCCTCATGCATATGTGGTTGTTCTTACTAAGGTTCTTTTATGTCAGCTCTAACTTGTAGTGCCCCTGTGTGTAACTGGAGGGAAGCCGCCTTCACTATCCTCACAATCGCTGCTGGTTTTGAACCCATAGTTGCAGTCTCCATGTCAATCCTCCTTTTTGATGATTGCTCTCTCTTTTTGTTGACCGTCTACCCAACTGTAATATTTGCAGAAGCAGAATGCCAAACCTTTCTCTTGAGGAGCAATTGGTGGGTTTGAACCCCTGACCTATCATTTAGTGACTGATTACTTAACCACTACACCAATCAGGACTCCTCTGAAAATGCATTGAAAAGATGATAATTTCATTTTTAAAGACTATGAAGGAAGAATGGACAGGATGTGGTGTTCAATTAGGGGATAAGGAAGGATGAGATCTAAAGTTCCTCAAGTTTTCAGATCCCTAAAGATACCACTTTTCAGACATGAGTGAGTCAGTGAGTAATACTGTTGCAACAGCACTTTTTCATTAGATGTTGATGTGGGATGTTGTTGTTGTTGTTGTTATGTGCCATCAAGTCATTTGTGACTCATAGTGACCCTATGTACAACAGCCCTAAACCCTGCTCTATCCTGTGCCAATCGCATTGCCTCTGACACACCCATCCAGATTACCCCAGTCACTGAATCAATCCACCTCATAAAGGGTCTTCCCCTCCTATGCTGTCCCTCTACTCTACCCAGCATGATGTCCCTCTCTAAAGACCTGTCTCTCCTTACAATATGCCCAAAAAGCCCCAGAATCTTTGCCTCCAAGGAGCAGCCTGGTTTAACCCTCTCTAGGATGAATCTGTTTGTTTTCTTGGCAGTCCATGGTACATTCAATACTCTTCTCCAGCACCACAGCTCAAAGGCTTCAATTCTCCTTCTGTCCTCCATAGTCATTGTCCAGCTCTCTGATGCATAACAAGTGATTGCAAAGACCATGGCCTGTATCAGGCGCACCTTTATCTCCAAAGAGACACCATTACTCTTGAGTACTTTAGAGAGGTCCCTAACAGCAGACTTTCCCATTGCAATACGTTTTTTTATTTCCTGGCTGCCAAGAGTGTGGAGCCGAGCAAACTGAAGCTGTGAACAATCTCAATCTCTTCACCATCCATCCTGATGCTACCAATTGGTCCAGTGGTGAGAATCTTTGTCTTCTTGACATTGAGTCTCAGTCCATACTGAAGGCTGCAGTCCTTGACCCTCTGCAGTAAGTGCACGAGGTCCTCCTCAGTTTCAGCGAGCAAGGTTGTGTCATCTGCATAACGCAGGTATTGTTGTTCCATTATGTACCACTGAGTCAACTATGAATCTCATAGCAACCCTATGCACAATAGCTCTGAACCCTGCCCTATCCTGAGCCAATCTCACTGCCTCTGATACACCTACCCTCATTACCCGAATTACTGTGTCAATCCATTGCATTCATGATCTTCCTCTCTAGAGCTGTCCCTCCACTCTTCCAAGCATGATGTCCTTCAACAAGGACTGGTCCCTCCTGGCAACATGCCCAAAGTACATGAGATGGAGGCTCAAAATCCTTGTCTCCAAAGAGGAGATTGGTTTCACCCTCTCCAGAACTGACTTCTTGTTCTCTTGGCAGTCCATGGTATGTTCAATACTCTTCTCCAGCACCACAACTCAAAGGCATCAGTTCTTCTGTCATTTTTGGTCATTGTCCAGCTTTCTGATATCAAGCAAGTAAGTGAAAAGACCCTGGCCTGTATCAGGTGCATCTTAGTCTCTAAACATTGTTGCTCTTTCACACTTTGGAGAGGTCCCTGACAGGAGCTTTTCCTAATGCAATTTTTCCTTTGATTTCCTAACTCCTGGTGCCAAGAGTGTTGATTGTGGAGCCTAATAAGCGGAAATTGTTAACAATCTCAATCTCTTCATGAATTTGGGTGTCATACCTGTGCAGAGGCCGTGCTCATCTTCTCTGTATCATTCCAATTTTAGTATATGTGCTGCCAAAGCAAGCAAAATAATCTCAATCTCTTCTCCATCCATCATGGTGCTGCCATTTGGCCCAGTGGTGAGAATCTTTGTATCCCTGATGTTGAACTTCAATCCATATTACAGACTACAGTCCTTGCAAATTAAGAGATCCAGAGAGAGCAATGAAAGGTCAGAGTTTTTGGTTGTTTTATAGCTTTGTTCTTTAATATATTGACTTTGAATTGCAGCAGAGAAACTCAATAGGAAATGATGAAATTTGGAACTTGGGAGGAGATTCATGAGCTTGAAGGAATAGTTGAGATCAGAACTTGGGAGAGTGTGGTGCCAGAAACTTGGAAAATTGGCTTTTCTAACCATTGCATTAGGGAGTTCTGATGGCCTAGTGGCAAGAAGCTGTGCTGCAATCCCAAAGGTGTGCAGTTGGAATACACTAGCTGCTCTGCAGAAGAAGGATGGGGAATCTCCTCCTATGTAATTAACTGCCACTGAAAATCTGACAGAGGGTCAACTCTGACTTGATAGTACACACCAAAAGCCATTGTGGTAGCCTTAATTGGGAGGATCGTCTCTAGCTACCTTAACTATGGACACATTGTCTTCATGCAAATCATCCACAAGTCTGGGACCAATGTAAGAGAGTACTTTCCACACTATGAAAGACAGTGGTGCAGAGAGGGTGAAGAGACTATGGCAGACAGTGAAGAGACTGTAGTACTGCTATGAAGATACTGTGGCAAGGTGTGACCAGAGGAACCCTGGACATGGAGCCACAGTTAAAGGTTTTGCTTCTGGATGACTGAAAGAAAAACTGACTTGTAACTGCCCTAAGATAAAGTTTGCTGGACAATTGAGGAAACCAGAGGTTAATTTGTGCTATTGAAAGGAACTTAGACTTTCACTTTCTGAGTGTGGAGCTGTCTGAACTAATTGAGGAATCGTATCTTGCTGTTAGTCTGGCTTGGGACTGCTGGACTAAACCTGGACTTTCACTATGTGCTATCCTTTATCTCCTCCAGCCCCCTACCTTATTTCCCTAATAAACTCCATAACTGTGCATAAAGTCTCTGAGTCCATTTGCAATGAACATTGGACCCAACAATTTGTAGAAATAGATGCAGGAGCATGAGAGGTGGCATGTCTGACCATGTAGCTATTTTGTGTGGTACTATGGATATTGTTTTTTTTTCTATAATTATCTTTTATTAATTTTCATAAACATTTACAGAGATTTTGGGTTTCCATTCATTCATTGTTGCACTAT